TCTTATCTTATCAGTCTTATCTTATCAAGATAGAGTTGGAGGTCTCCCTATTCAGCAAGGAGTCTCCCTAAGAGCAGGACTCTTGTAATCTCCTACTTAAGGAGCCACTATTATTGAATAAAATTATCCAAAATTTCAGTCAAAGAGAAGAGTAAAGGAGAGTTAGGGTGATCTCTTGGACAAATCACCCCTTAGGTCGCCATGATAGGGTCAGCACGCAAAGGGAGGGGCAAGGGGAAACAAGAGGTTCTCCCCGTGGACCGACCCGTGACGAGATCCTACGCCCGGGCCCATATGGCCCTGATTTCAGCCACTAAAGGGAAAAAATAGGCTTTTTGGCCAAATATCTCATGGTTGGCTTTTGTCGAAAGCTTGGTGGATTATCAATTTTCTTACTAGTTAAGCCAGTTAAGGGAGACTGCATGTCAAGTTCTCCAAAACCAGCCCCTAAGGCTCTTATTGTAACAAGTACAAATACAAATACGTACAGTGCAAAACCTTGTTTTTTTATTTTTTTGATAAGTATCAATTAATTCAAAAGGAAAGTACAACCAGAGCCTCCAGAGGCTGTACAAATGAGATACAAGAATGGACTCAAACCACAAAACCATTGGGGGATACAAACAGACTTTCAAAATTAAACTGAGAGCTACAAAAAGAACTGTCAACTTTAAACTTAGTCGATGACCAAGAACAGAGCTTCCCCATGATCTTCTGCCACACTTCGTCTTCTTGATAGCTTTTGTTTTGAAATATCCTTGAATTTCTTTCTTGCCAGATCACCCATAACACTGCACCTGGAATCAGATGCCATAAACATTTCCATTTCTTGCTTAGGCCTTGTAAATTCCAGCTGTTGGCAAAAGTCACCAAAGATTTTGGCCAGCAACTTCTGATTGCAAAAATTCTGAGAATCCTCACCCAGATTTTGTGAGTGAAGCCACAGTGAAGAAACTGGTGTTCAACAGACTCCTCAGCATTGTTGCACAAGACACACCTTTTAGAGTTAATCACCACACCCCTATTAACCAAGTTGTCTCTTGTGCAAAACCTTGTATTTTGTACGTGTTTGCACTGTACATATTTGTATTTGTACTCTTTCCAAACTGAGCCTAAAGGTTTATTATGAGTTGAAAATGTGTATTTGTAGTAGTAGAATGGAAATAAGTTATTTATGGTTAGATGAAAAGTAAAGAAAAAGAAATAATAAAAAACTATAGTCCAATGAAAAGCATTGATCGAGAAAAATGCCAAATCAGCTTTGATGTGATGGTAAGCTAGCATGGTGAGAGCAGATTAAGATGCATTGTAAGAGATAATTTTGGACATAACTTGAGAGTTTGTAGCAAAAGAATGGGGCATCAACATTGCTGAAAGTGTAGGTGGATGGATATTATTATGGTTTGAAACTGAAAAAATAGGCTTTTTGGAGCACATGGAAAGGATTTATAAAGAACTGATATGGAGTGCAAGTTGGGTAATCTAAGGGGAAAGAAATCTGTTTTTATTCAATTTCTGTACTCAGGACTTCGGCCAATTTGAGGCTTTTGAAAGTTACTTTTTAGTTTACTAGTATCTCAGGAATAAGGTTAATAATGTTTAAGGGTCAAAAGAGTTTTATTAAGGTGTTCTTAGAAATTGACAAGTTGAAAATACAGTCACGTCACTTTATTTCAGCTTATTTTTAGGGGTCAAAGTTTGTTCATATCATGTGATTTTGGCATCGTTAGGTAGATTATTGAATCATCTGTCCAATGGGATCAATATCTTGTAAATCTGGCACATTTTGAGACGGTATTGACATTTTAAAGAGGAATACTATGATGTTTTTTGGTGTTTAGATCTGCTGTGCATATTGTTTGGTGATGGATGGCTATTGTGCTGAGCCATGTTTTTTTGTCAAATTACAGATTCTTATATCATTTTATTACCACTTAAGTTCACGTCTTTGGTCTTCTCCTTACTTTTGCCAAGTCACTCCTCATTGATGCAGTTACCAATTGTCTTTGCAAATGGTACTTGGCAAAAAAGTCTTTGCACATGACCAAACCATTTTCCCTCTCCTGTTACCATTTTGGGCTAATTTTAAGTCCTTTCTAATCCACCCATTTCTTATTTTGTGACAGTCAAACATAAACAAGTTACTATGATTCAAAAATTCCATGCATTTATAGTTGTTCTCTTATCTATAATAATATGTAAGATATGAAAGTTAGCGTCTTTTTTCATTTTCATTTTTGTATGTAAACCAAATATTTATTTCCCATTTCTTCCCTTTTTTTATTTACTTTGGCTTGTTAAATAATGCCATATTTCTTTGGATGAAATGGTCTATTCTCTTTGAAGGGAGGAAAAAAGACCCTGATATTGCGGGAAATTCCAGAAGATGGAGTCAAAACTCTGCTGTCTAATAAAGAGTCTCTGGCAGCATGTGACATAGCGATATTTGTCCATGACAGGTAATATAATCTGTTTGATTATTGGATTTAAGTCCTGTTTGATGCTTTTTGATGCTTATTTTCCAAAGATATATAGTTTCTGTCTATCATGCACTTATTGCTATTAAAACGTAAGAAACTTCTAATATTACTGATCATTAGTATTACCATAACCAGTAAGTAGCATTTGAACTGGTCATCATGTGTTATTGGACAACTGAATTTATGTGTACTCAACTCAACAAGGCTTTAGTGTGTTTTATTGGATATTAGATGCTACTTTGGATTTTATATGATCTGTGTTGGGACATGTTATTTGGGGGTCAGTGAGGTAACAATGACGAAGATCTGAAGTTCCCAGATTTTAAGGCTTCTCAATTTCTAATGTCCTAAGATCATAGAAATAAATATGAAGTTAGATTTGTTAAGAGGATTCTTGTTTTATTGTAAGATGCAAACCAGGTTGCAGTACTGAATGGCATAGAAAGAATAAGAAAATAGGTAAATAAGCATACAGTACCTATTACATAACATAGTTTTTTTGAGAGATATAGAAAGAATAAGAAAATAGGTAAATAAGCATATAGTACCTATATCATAGTTATTTTGAGAGGTACTTTTACCTTATGTTTGGTTATATACATGTTATTTTCTTCTTCTTTGTTAGGGGGATGCTGAAGATCCTTACACTCCTGAGATTTTTCTTGATGCTGGAACTGCTTATTGTTCCAATTCTTGGATTGTATTGTGTACTGGTTGGTTGAGTATTTTCTTCACCTTAACCATACCCTGGCCGGACAGATTCAACTTTTTCGCTGTTGTGTTTGCCTCATACTTTCTGATATTCCTTAAGTGTCAGTTGGGAAGTATGGTAACAGTCTTACTATTGGCTGCTGACATTGATTCATTATTTTGTTACCAACTAATGTCCACATGTTTTATTGAATGCTTTATGCTTGGTGAGATCCAACATCAGTTAAGAAACATGTTCTGCTCCAAGATCTTTCACTCCTTGTGCTTTGCTGTTTTTTTTCCCTAATCTCAATTGCAAGGTGTGACACTTTCTCCAGCATGCAGGTTTCCTTAGTGAGATCCAGTATCATTTCCTTTGTAGGTTGGAATATAATACATGCTCTGCATTTAAAAGTGGTTTCCTGGAAACTCCAGCATGCCATTTGCTCTTTTTTTTTTTTAAATCTCAATAATAAGTTTGATGTTTCTAGATATTTTCTTTTTACACTGTTCTTTTTGTTACTTTTCTCAACCTTTTATTTGGGCCACCTTGTTGCCATCCTTTTGTTACCGTATCTCTTCATTACTCTTAATGATTAATGGAACATTCTTTGATCAGTTCCCATTCTTTTCCCCCCAATTTCAGTTTTTGATATATTGTGCAACCATTCTACTTCTGTTGCCATGGCTGATTTTATTATATTCAATGTTTTCATGCATCTCGTGAAAGCTTTTGCTCCCCACCCTGTACAAGAAAAAAGAAAGAAAAGGTGAGGAAAAGAAAAGAAGTAGCATGCTTGCATAATTACTTGCTTCCTATGGTATATTGTTCATTGCACCTAATGAAAGTAGTTGCTTCGCTACCACAAAGTGAGCTTATACTTGAAGCTACTACCTGACATTTTTCATCCAGAAATGGATTAGACGCATCATTCACTGAGCCCTCACTTGGGAAGGCAGCCTTTGACCAGTTGCAATTGGAACTCATTAGCTTCTTGTATTTGTTTTGTGTTTTTATTTTTCATTTGCATTTCTACTTCTGTTGACTTAACAGGGGGAGCAAGAGTTGTGGATCTGGACATTACTTAATTGGGAAACTAGACTTTCTTATTTGTTACAAATTTTCTTTATTGTAATTTCTTTTAGTACTGACACTCCTTTTTTCCATGTAATCATAATTTCCTCATTTTTCCTTGGGAGATGACATTTCTTTTGTCTGTAATTTTAGTTCTGATGAAAGTTCTTGGAGGAAAGCAACTGAATTGCTTTTAGAAGTTGCTAGTCATGGAGAGGACAGTGGCTTTGAGGTGCCTTGCCTCATTGTTGCAGCTAAGGATGATCTTGATCCATACCCACTGGCTATACAAGATTCCACGAGGGTAGTTGCTTTGTCATGAGATAGCCTTGTTCTTTTATATTTAAATCTGTAGTGAGATTCTTAGGCATCTTTACTTATTTCACTATAGATTTCTTCTTGTTGGGAAAATCTAAATTCTAAAACAGCTATTCTGAATGTTTATTTTAGAAAGTGTTACAAGTTTGATATAGCATCCTGATTTTCAAGTTGTTGCAATTATAAAGTTAATAGCAGTAACACCCTGTGGTTAGTATAAATTCATGGAAGTATTATGGATGCCATATGGACAGATGGGCAATTTCAGGACATTGTTTCTTTTGTTCTCTCTCTCTCTCTCTCTCTTACTTTACTTATTTATTTTTAAGTCTTTATAACAGTTTTTATTTATTGTCTACACAGTTTCAGTAACTTTATGACAATACTGGTTTCAAAGGTTATGTAGAACCTATAGTTATAATCTTTGATTGTAATTCTGCTGTTGTAGGTTAGTCAAGACATGGGAATAGATGCACCCATCCCTGTGAGCATGAAGTTAGGAGATTTCAATAGTATATTTCGTAGGATTATAAGTGCAGCAGAACACCCTAATTTGAGCATTCCTGAGACTGAAGCTGGTAGAAACCGCAAGCATTATCATCAACTTGTTAACCGTTCTCTGATGTTTGTTTCAGGTATGCTCAATATATGGCTTTTAAGTTAATGCTTGTTGCCATTGTGCTCTTTCATTTGGATATACTAGAATATATCTGAAAGAAACTTGAAAGTTTGCTGGATTTTTAGTATCATCTGTTTGATTTTCAGATTTTTTTTTGATAGATAATGGAAATGATAATATTATTGATTAAAGAACTAAGTATACATCATACAATTCCCCACTAAGAGGTGCGAGGTCCAGCCTCCTAACTACATCATAAAGCTTACAATTGAGCCCAAAAGAGCTGATTCCTATGTACTCCTTGTTTAGCTAGGAGGTCTGCCAGCCCATTTGC